ATGATGATGATGATGATGATGGCAGCAATCAAGAAGGAAGAAGAGAGGGAAGAGGAGGAGGAGGGAGTGAAGGAGGGAGAGGAGGGGAGGAGGAGAAGGAGGATAGTGGGTTTTTGGTGAGCAGGGAGCCATCTCTCCCAGAGTCTCGGCCAATCCCTAACAACTCAATGTGACTCTCCCCTCTCTAGTTTTCCTTCTCCCCCCCCCCCATAGTTGGACACCCCCATTCCAGGTTCTACTTCTCAGAACCTAATCCCAACCGCTAAGTCAGTCTAAGGGAATGACTGGAATCTAATCTTAGATTGGAATCTACGAATGATTGGGAAGATTGGAATCTTAGATTCTTAGATAAGAATCTAAGCGAACGATTGGACCAAGTTCGTACAGCAAGATGGGACTAAGTCGTGACTCCAGAACCACTGTGCTCCAGAGTTTAACAGAATAGGCACATTTTTTTAGGAGTTCAACTCCAACACTTAGAGTATTATAGATAAGACACGCTCGGCCTGTATTTACGGGAGGCAGGAAGGGCTTTTCTTTTTTTCAGGAATCCCTATGTCACTTTCACACCAGGTGCCATCCAGTCTTCGGACCGGGCAAGACTCATTTGTGAAAGTAAAAACAAAGATGAATATCAGAACAGGAGAAAAGCACAGTGTCACAGTTAGTAGGTGCTCAGTAAAAGAGCTTTTATTAATTTGGACGGAGTTGAGGTGGCACCTGTTTTAAGATCAGTGCTCCAGGGGCAGAATTCAAAAGCAGAACTATTACTGAGAATAAACTGAGGGTTGATGGGGAGTGGGAGGGTGGGTGATGGGCATTGAGGAGGGCACCTGTTGGGATGAGCCCTGGGTGCTGTGTGGAAACCAATTTGACAATAAATTTCATGTAAAAAAAAAAAAAAAGCAGAACTATTGGTGAGTTTTCATTTTTCTTTGTCTTAAGTACCTCCTATTTTTTTCCTTGTTTCTAATGCCACGTTCTTCTATTATTAAAAAAAAAAGTTAGAAAACATGGATAAACAAGAAGAAGAAAATTAAAATAGCTCCTAACTCCCCAGCCGCTTTTATACTGATGGGCATTTGGCCAGTTTTTATACACATAAGACTTAATAAAAAACAGGGCGTGGGGCTTTTAAGGGATTTTACCTAATTAGGCCAAAGTGGCCGAGTCCCATCCTGCTTCTCGAGAACTCACTCATGTTTTGCAAGCCACGCTTGATGAAATCTTTGAGCGCAGGGGCAAACCCGTGACCCGCGTATATTCGTAATATGCTAATTTCTGTTTGGGTTTCTGAACAAAACCCGTCTTTTAAAGAAAAATTTAACAGATTTGAAA